TCTTTACATAATCCCATATTCCTCAGAAGTTTTATTCCTTCCTTTGTATTTTCTTCATTCTTGTCTGCCTGTCTTCTTTCAGAAAGCCAGTCTTCAAACCCTGAGATACTTTCTTCCACTTGGTCTATTCTGCTATTAACCAAATTCTTGTAGTGTGTTTTTTAGCTCTATCAAGTTGGTTACATTCTTTTCTGTACTGGCTATTTTGTCTGTTGGCTCCTGCATTGTTATCATGATTCTTAGCTTCCTCAGATTGACTTTCAACATACTCCTGCATCTTGATAATCTTCATTCCTATCCATATTCTGAATTCTATTTCTGTCATTTCAGCCATCTCAGCCTGGTTCAGACCCCTTCCTGGAGAAGAGGTGCAGCTGTTTGCAGGAAAGAAGGCACTCTGGTTTTTTGAGTTGTCAGAGTTCTTGCACTGGTTCTTTTTTTATCTTTGCAGGGTTATGTTCCTTCAATCTTTGAAGTTGCTGACCTTTGGATGGGTTTTTTTCCTTTTATCCTGTTTGATGACCTTGAGGGTTTCATTATGATATAGGGTGGATTCAGTCAACTGGCTTCATTTCTGGAAGATTTGAGAGGGCCAGGACTCAGCTCCCAGCTCCTGGACTGCATGCTCTAACTCTGGAGGACTTGTGTTGAGCCCCAACTTTGTTCTGTTTAAGAATCCACTGCACTGGGTGAGCCAAGATGCTCTCAGATGGCTGGTCACTACACTCTAATCAGTGGTGTCAGCCAAAGCATTTAGTAGTACAGAGACAGTGGAATCCATCCTCGTTTGCATGTGCCAGCAGCAGTGGCAGCAGCAGCACGGCTACACTAGGGCGCTAGTGGGTGCTGGTGTGCCTGCCTCTGTGCCAGCATTTACCACAGTGGCAAAGGGAACACCGCTGGTAGGGTGGGGGCCCCTGCTGGTGACTGCGTGTGGTTGCACTGGTAGTGGTGTTGACATGAGAGCAGGGTGGTGGAGAGCGCTCAGGGTAGGGGAGAGCCCACTGTTCTCTGTGCCTAGTTTCACTTGGGGCAGTGCTGGCAAATGTGTGGGGCGCTGGCAGGAACGGGGTTGGGCTGGCTGGCTCTGTGCCTGCCAAGGCTCTGACTGTTGGTGGTCAGAGGGGAGAGTGGAGCAGACTGCACTCCTGCTGCAGCAGTTGCAGGGCAGGGTGTACACATACACGCAGGCTGGCAGGACAAGATAAGCAAAACCTGCCTGTGCACACACGTGCTGGCAAAGCCATGTGGGTTGTTACTGTGGGCCTGGGGGAAGATGCAGTGTGGAAGGAGTGTGAGGCTGGTGTGTGGCCCTGGGGGCTGCCCCTGGGGAACTCTTCGCATTTCAGGCATGGTCCACCAGCACTGGAGCTTTGAGACTCCATCTCAAAAAAAAAAAAGAAAGAAAGAAAGAAACGAAAAATTATACTTTAATTGCTTTAGCAGCATCAATGTACTGTTCTGTATAAAGTAGGCAAATACCATCTTAGATTTTTAATTCATTGTCTAAATCTTTTATTTTAACCTGAATAAATTTTGAAAAGATAACTAAGCTTTCTGGGAAGCAAATGTTTAGCTGATATTGGAAAAATACAACCTGTTGACAGACCAAGGAAAAAACAGAAAAATACTTTTTTCCGTTAAAAATTTAAAATTATAATACATGTATATTTCTATCAAAATTTAAATACGAAAAGAAAGGTGAAGACTTCCTTGACTACCACATGTGACCCAGGTCTTCTCTAAGTGTATATCCTTCCAAATCATGTTTCCTGCAGTTATATAGGTACATATCCATGAAACATACAGCTTTATGTTAGGTATTTAATTTATAGCCTGATGGATGGAAGATTATGCATTAAAAGGGGATCTTGTTAATTTTTTTGGTAGATTCTTTTATTCTGATCTTGATTGACTGTAAACTTAGCTGCACTTTCACACCAAACAGGTCTTGGAAACGGAAATGATGCTAGTTAAAAGGGTGAATATAAAGTTGGATTTAGTAAAAGATAACAGTAACATGTTATAAAAAAGTTTCAAAGGGATAAAGTCTTGAAACCTCAGCTATCCAGTTTCATATAAATTACTTACATGTCTAGGTGATATTTGAGATGGGTCTTAAGAGAGGGAGAGGAATCCTAGGGAGGGGAAGCGAGGCATGGACAGGCAGAGGGACTGCACTATGCAAGGACATGATGGAGAGAAGTACGTGCCTGGATTTCCAGTTTTCCTGAGGACAATTTTACACCAGATCTTCATTTTAAAAATCCAATCCTTTTTCTTAATAACCCCATCTGTCCCTGATACCACCATTTTTTTCCTACCAGTCTCTCAGGCTAGAAATTTTGTAGTTATCGTTGCCTCTTCTCTCCTTCATGCTGTAAATCCTACCTATTGGGAATACATTACTGTCCTTTCTTCAAAATGTTTTATCTCTCTTTTCTTTTTCATTCTCTGCTATTAACTATAACTTCATTCTCAGTTTCACTGCTGCCTAGCTTTCTGTGCCCTGCTAGGTTCATCATTATCCATCCAACAGACATAAAAGGAAAACTGTTTCTACTCACACACTTGTGACACCAAATGTGTGGGTTTTCCACACTAAGCAGTTCTCTAGTTCTCTGCAGATACAAACTGGGTGTCCTGCAATTCAGTTCTGAATTGCCATCAACTGAGATCATAAGACTGTTGAGCAGTTGGTTTGAGAGGGAAGATCCTGAGTTCTGTTGGGCATATCACTTTGGAAATGTCTACTAAACATCCAAATGGATATGTCATGGAGGCAGCTGGAGTTCAGGTTAGAGGTCTGAGTCACTGATAAAACTTTGGGAGTTATTGGCAAATGATAGCATATTGGTCAGAGTTCTATTAGGAAAGAGAAGCCACAGTCATTTGAACAGGACAAGTGTACATAGGGAATTGTTCGTTGCAACAGGGAAGAAGAGTAACCAGGCACAGACTAGTAGGAAGTATAGGAGTAGCAGCCACTAGTCTAGGGCTGAGGTAGAGAACTCAGGAGAGTCCTCCCCTCTTAGTGCCCTGCCCCTGCACCTCATCAGAGGAACCCAGCCATGGCCCTTTGCATGTCAGGAGAGTCACCGGTGCTGTACCACTGGAACTTACTAGAAATACTTCCTTAGGTGCTGGGGAAAGGAGCGGTGTCTCAGAAGAGTTACTCTATAACAAAACTGCCTGGAGCTGGTGGATGGAGTGGAACCTGCTGGGCAATGGCCACTGTGTCCCTGAAGAAGTCAAGCACCTGCAGGAGCCAGGCGAGGGAGCATAGGAGAATGAATAACAAAGACAGCTTTCACCTACAAAGTCTCTCCATTGCTCTAGATAGGAGGTGGTGGTCAGAGTGGGATACTGTGAGGGTTGCAGTCCTTGGACCTGACAAGGTCTAAGGTCTGATCATGGAGGGAGGGGGAAGCTGAAGTAGGCCAAAGGACAAGAGTAGGTTTCATGAGACCAAAAGGATGTTAGAAGGATTATCTACCCGGATACTGACATCTCCGAGAAGTAAGAGGCCTGGTGTGAAGAAGTTACAACATCCTAAGCTCTTCAGGGATAAGGGAAGCATGCGCCAGGTGGGTAGCCTCCCTAGTCTAGCACCCAGTATATAGCCTATGCAGAGTGAATACCTGGGGGCTGCTGGGGGTGAAAACAAGGTCCCTGTGACAGGACCTGAAGCCTGGGGGTCTCAGTGACAGGAATGGGCCTAGTTTTTTGGTGTAGAATTGAGTCTTGAGTGCACCGGTGGGATCATATTGAAAAGAAACCCTCCAAGACTAGAGGAAGATGCATCCTCTGACAATGTACGCTCTGTAGGCGTCCCAAGTAGCTGGGCTAGGGGTTAGATAGGCTCCAAGGCGTTTCCTCAGGTGGCAGTGGGTGGATCCCTGGGAAGGCAAAGCTGTGCAGGAAGAAAATGGCAAGATGCTACATTCCCTCAGGGAAAGCCCCTTTCCCGGGAGCAGGGAAGGGGAGGCAGTTTAGGCTGGGTCTGTTTGTCCCTGCCCTCAGAGTCTGTTGGTCCTGGAAAAAGAGGGCCTTATTTTATTTATTTATTTTTCTTTGATACAGTGTCTTGCTCTGTCACCCAGGCTGGAGTGCAGTGGCTGGATCTCAGTTCACTGCAACCTCCGCCTCCCACGCTGAAGCGATCGTCCCGCCTCAGCCTCGAGTAGCTGGGACCACAGGGACCACAGGCACCCGCCACGACGCTGGTTTTTTTTTTTTTTTTTTTTTTTTGGAGACGTAGACTCCCATGTTGCCCAGGTTGGTCTTGAACTCCTGGGCTCAAGCAATCCTCCCGCCTTAGACTTCCAAAGTGCTGGGATTACAGGCGTGAGCCACCGTGCCCGGCTTTTCTTTCTTCCCCTCCCCCCCCACCCCGCGAAACGGGGTCACTCTATGTTGCCCAGGCTGGTCTTGAACCCTTGGGCTCAAGCGATCCTCCCGCCTTGGCCTCCCAAAGGTCTGGGATTACAGGCGTGAGCCACTGCTTCCGGCCAAAAGAGGGCTATCGGGCACCCCCAGAACGCGAGATCTCCCTCGGCTGTCATCTTTACAGGGGAGGAAGTGGACTTCCAATCCAGCCATAGTCCATTCGCCCCGGGTACAGTGACTGCGGGGCGGCCAGAACCAAATGTGTCTCCTTCTGGCTTTTGCACGGCATCAAGTAACCACCGCCAGGCCGCACAGCTGCTCTGGCCTTCAGCTAGGACTCGCTGGTGCACGCTTCTCCGAAGTCCTACCGCGGGAGTTGAGGCAGCGGATTCCGAGGGTTGGGTGGGGCTGAATCCGGAGGGATGCGGATTCGATGGAACGCACCGCGCAGACGGCACTGGCGCCTGCACTCAGCTGTTAACGAGTCTTTCTTCCCGCTCACCCCTGAAAGTCGTCCAGGCGGCGGTCTCTCTTTTTTCTGCCTTTTTGTTTCCCCCCGGCGAGTAGGCGTGAGGGTGAATTTCCGTTTCCGCCGGTGTCCAAACGGACCTAAGGAGTCCTATTGTGAGCAGGTTTGGTGCGCGGGCTGGGGTAGGCGGCGTTGGGGTCCCTGGCTCTGGGGCACTGGGAAGGTCGCGAGTCGTGCGCGTGGGAAGGTCCTCCCCCGGTCCTCCGGGTCATCTTTGCTCCCGAGGAGCAGCATATTTAGCATCTGCCGGAGGTGTGCCCGGGGGTCGTTGGGAGAGTGACGGGATGAATCCCTGCAGAGAGCCAGGACTGGGAGGAAAGGTGTCGGGGAGACGTCGTTTCCTGGCAACGTGGCCCCGGCAGGCGACTTAGACCTGAGCCGAATCTGTTGAGCCCAAATTGTGCTTTTCCCACCAAGAAGAAAAGGGAGAGAAACAGTACAATTTCGGCACTAAAACATAGTAGAGAAGCAACATAACCTCTGAAATCACACAGCTATTCAGTTTCAAAGCGTTCCTAGTGCCCAGCTCTCCTAACTCCCTGCCAGTGTTCCTTGACATTATGGTGATATATAAAGACTTTCTGTTTCCGCTTGTGTGTGTGTGTGTGTGTGTAGCCTCTGAGCTCACCTCTGTGCTCGAGTAGCACCCTGTGCAGCCTTGCAGTGTAGCCCTTATTGCATGGCACGGAAGATACTAGTTTGGATTTCCTCTGCAAGTCAGATCATAGCTGTATCCATTTACTGGCACAGTGGCTAGCGCATCGTAGACAGACACAAACGTTTATTAAACGGAATGAATACAAGACCTTAATTGAATGAAATGGCACCCTGCCCCGCTTTTTTTCAATCAAGCTGTCAGATTTTGTGCAGCCCCATATCCTAAAAAAACTCACTAATTCAGTGATTACCAATTCATTGGCCACAGATTCCCAGGTACATCAGAAATCACTGGAAGGGTCTCTGTAAGTCCATGGGGTCTCCATCTAGTTCTCCATGGCGTCATCTAGAACTGGTCATATACATACAGATACTGCTATTTTTCAAATGTACGTAGATGAGCTGTAATTTAGGAGTTTTACAGAGTCAACAGGTACTAAAAGTAATACTGCGATCATATTGGAAGTTCATAAAAACGTTTTAAAATTTTTATTAAAATTTAAGTTTTAGTATAAGTTAGGAAACCACTTCATTAGTCCAGTTGATATCTAGGTCTGAGCTGTCCAGTATGGTAGCCACGTGTGACTATTTAGAGTTAGAATGAAATTAATTAAAAATTCATTTTTTCAGTTTCTTTACATTTTAAGTAATCACATGTGGCTAATGGCTAAATGGCTGACAAGTACAGATATAGAATATTTTCATCCTTGCAGAAATAGATACTGCTGATGTTGACACTTGAGATGAATAAAAAGTAACTTAACCATAAAATGTAACGTTAGCAGAGGCAACTCATCTAATTTATAGCATAACAAATGAAATTGGGGGATGGTTAAGCAGTTTCTATCCTTGTTCAGTAAACAAGTATATACATCATCTCTTCATGAAGAAATAAATGAAATTTAATGTTTTTCCCTGGGTATTGCCTGGATTATAAAATGCTTCTCCCACCTCCTTACCCCAACCTTCTTCCTTGTAGGTTAGAGTTACTTATTGTTGGTAAATAGCCACTATGGAGACTAAGGACCAGAAGAAACACAGAAAGAAAAACAGTGGACCCAAAGCTGCAAAGAAAAAGAAGCAGCATCTGCAGGATCTCCAGCTAGGAGACGAAGAAGATGCCTGGAAGAGAAATCCCAAAGCTTTTGCAGTTCAGTCTGCTGTGCGGATGGTTTGATCCTTTCACAGCTATGTTTAGCTATAGCCTGATGGTTCTTCCGTTGATTCTTTTTAAATAGTAGGAGCCACTCACAGGTGACATTTGGATTCACAAGTCTAGTTCAGCTCCAAAGGACATGGAGATGCATGCTGTGTGGCTTTTACTAAAGTGTGAGAAGCTTTGCCATAGAAGCTGCCTTGCCTCCAGCATCTACACACTGGTTGGTGTTTCTTGCCCAAGATACAAGAATTTATAGAATTTGTTTCTTCCTAAACTTTAAACTGTTTCTATGGTGATAAGTGTGCTTTTTCCCTCTGGATATGTTTTACAAAGTTGTAATATAAAATATAAAAATTACAATATGTACTACTAACATAGCTTTATTTAGTGAGTCCTTGTGATATTCTTAGCAGTGGGCTTTAAACATTATTCAACTAAATGCTTCCAGCAGCCTCACCGGAGTAGGAATCATTCTTGCCCTCATTTTATGGACAAGAAAACTGAGGTCAAGAAAACACGTTACCACCAATCATATAACCAGTATGTAGGAGAGCCAAATTTAACTCCAGAGCCTCTGCTCTTATCTGTTATGATACACTGCCTCGGTATTTACCTTTTGGTTTTTAAAAAATTATTAAAATCACTCGTAAAGCAGTCAGACTTAAGGAGTGTTTAATTTTCAACTCTATACTATTGAAGTCATCTTGTTACATCTTTATTGAACAGCAGTTGATTTGGATAGGGGTCAGAAGTTAATAATTGACAAGTTACTTATATTTTTGTATTGTCTGTTTTACTCTCTATATACTAAAGTACTCATATCTGTAAGTATGCTAAAAAAAAAAAAAGCCTACTTATAAGGTTGATACCTTTTACTCTATTTTGAAAGTGAGTTTACTTTTTTTTTTTTTTTAAATAAATAGGACTCAGGATTTGAAGGTAAGAAAGCATCATATTCCAGTGGTTGATCGAACTCCACTAGAGCCCCCACCAATAGTGGCAGTGGTGACGGGGCCTCCAAAGTTGGAAAGAGCACTTTGATATAATGCCTCATTGGAAACTTCACCCGGCAGAAGTTGACCAAGATCAGAGGCCCTGTGACGATCGTGTCAGGTAGGAGATGCCGCCACAGACACAGAGTTGGCGTGGCTGTTGTCATCTGAGGGACATGCGTGTGTTTGTTGTTTTCTTGAGTGGAACATGTTAAATATTATCATATCATGTTACCTCTCTTATACTTTTACTAAGTTAGCTATAACTTCAGAAAAGGGTAAGTTCCCAGAGATAAGGATGTGATACATGTCTTATCCTGACTGCTCTATGGCTTTGCCATGCATGTTCCTTGGAAGGGCCTAGCAGGCCTGGTCACTGTGAACGCATCATTTAACAGATAGCATGTACCTCCTATGTGCCAGGTGCACATGCTTGCCCTTATGAAACCACATGCTGGTGGAAGTGCACGTTTTCTCTTTTCCCTATGAGAATTTGTCAGCTTTGGGAGACGGTGACCTTTCCAAGTTTGAAGGAAAATTAAACAAACTTCCAGTGGTAAAATGGCAATGCACACTCTGAAGTCTCTTGTTATTGCAGTAATATAGTTGGATTGAGGCTTTTCTTTATCTTTGGAGCATCCATATTTTCTTTTCCTTTTTTTGAGACAGAGTCTTACTCTGTGGCACAGGCTGGAATGCAGTGGTGTGATTACAGCTCACTGCAGCCTCAATCTCCTGAGCTCGAGCAATCCTCCTACCTTAGCCTCCTGAATAATGTATGCCACCATGCCTGGCTAATTTTTCTTTTTTTTCCTTTTTTTTTAAAATTTTTATGTTTTTGTAGAGATGGGGTTTACCCATGTGGCCTAGGCTAGTCTCAAAACTGGGCTCAAGGGATCCACCTGTCCTGGTCTCCCAAGGTGCTGGAACTACAGGCGTGAGCCACTGTGCCCAGCCCATATTTTCTTGACCATTTTCTTATTACCTTAATTTAGAAATGATTATCGTTATAAGTATTCTGTTGCATTATGTTTGAGGATGTTTTTAGTGATAGGGGGAATACAGGAAATTTTGATAGAGGTGAAGACATTGGCCCGCAGCTGAACAGCAAGATCATGGTTATCATGGAGCCTGTCTAGTCAGAATTTTCCCTGTTTGAGCACTTTTATTCATCTGGGTAGACTTTTGATATTATCTAAATTTAGAACACAGGAAGAAAAACAGGATGGAATTTATTTTATTTTACCAGTTTTTGCCTATACAAATGAACTTTGGGTACACTCCTATAAACGTATATGGTGTTTTACTGGATGCAATTAAAAAATGAAAATTAAGAGTTGATGGTTAGAGTTTTTTCAGGGTCTTTTTAAAGTAGAATTTTCATCTTTTCACTTATAGGTAAAAAGCGCAGATTCACCATTATTGAATGCGGGTGTGACATTAACATGATGGTTGATCTGGCTAAAGCAGCAGATCTGGTAAGTCAGCAGGAGCAGCCTGGGGTGCTGATGGAGACTTACAGCGTTGTGATAGGTTATTTACCCTGTGATGAAGGGAAGAGAGTTTTATGATTATTAAAGGAAACATGGTCATCATCAGGGATACAGTAAATGTAACTGAATTGATGATGACAATAATAATAGTGATAAATGTTGTTATATTAATAATACAAATGGAATGTGCACAATGAAATGTATTCCAAAATCTAAAAGCAAATGACAGGATGGAGAAAACCTTTAATTAACACAGCTAATAAGAACTCATTAATATGCATACATATATACGTACAAACATATCATAGTAAGTACCATTTCTTCTTGGACCCTTCCTGGCACTGTGCTAACTGCTTTCTACAAATTTAGCTTACGTAAACCCTTGGTACACCCTTGAGGTGAGTAGGTATTACCTGTAGTTTACATAAGATGAAATGGAGCCTCCCAGCAGTTAAGTAACTTGTGTGAAGATGGGACCCTTGTTCCTGATGGTTCTAGAACCTTCATCCTTAATGATATTGCTAAAGTAAGTACATGAATTGCCTGAAGAAGAGGTCAGAGTTTATCAATAGAAAATTTAGATAGTACTCAATGTGTGGAAAATGTACAGGCTCTTGCAATTATGGAAATGATAATGTTCACTATTTCTAATATTCTATTAACTATCTTTTAAAAAAAAAAAAAAAAAAAGGGCCAGACGCAGTGGCTCACGCCTGTAACCCCAGCACTTTGGGAGACCGAAGTGGGCAGATCACCTGAGGTCGCGAGTTCGAGACCAGCCTGACCAACATGCAGAAACCCCGTCTTTACTAAAAATACAAAATTAGTTGGGTGAGGTGGCACATGCCTGTAATCCCAGTTACTTAGGAGGCTGAGGCAGGAGAATCACTTCAACCCGGGAGGTGGAGGTTGTGGTGAGCCGAGATCACGCCATTGCACTCCAGCCTGGGCAGCAAGAGTGAAATTCTGTCTCAAAAAAAAAAAAAAAAAAAAAAAAAAAGGAGCAAAAAAATAAGCCATATTGATTAGGAAGTGCAGGGTGACAGATACCTTGTTTTTTTCATTTTTATTTAGTTTTATCTAGAGCTACATATTTTATGCTTTGGCCCAGGAAGACTCCTAAAATATAAAGGAAAAAGTAATACAGATTTTAAACTTGTGCCGTTGTAATGTCAGAAACATTCAAATTTTGACCATGTAATGCTACTATTAGTAAAAATAAGTGTAATTAATGTAAACTTGTATAAAGATTACTAAATTTTTTATACTTGAAAAGATTGAAATAGTTCATAGAAGTTATTTGTTTCTCTTTTATTTAAAATGTAGCACATTTTTAATTTTAAAGACATGCGTATTAAGAGATGCCTTTACTTTTTTTATTTTTAATTATTATGGATGCATAATAGTTACACATATTTATGGGATACGTGTAGTATTTTAATAGAAGCATACAATGTGTGATGATCAAATCAGGGTAGTACAGATATCTGTCACTTCAAACATTTATCATTTCTTTGTGTTAGGAACATTTTAATTTCATTCTTTTAGTTATCCTGAATTATATAATAAATTATAGTCACCCTATTGTGCTGTTGGACACGAGAATTTATTCTAACTGTATTTTTGTACCCGTTAACCCTGTTAACCTTTCCCTCTTTGTCCCTCCCTCCCTGCTCCCCTTCCCAGCCTCTTAACCATCATTGAGAGAGATGCCTATGTAAATCTTTTTCAGATTTTCAAAAGGAGCACACACTAACTAATGCAGTCTAACTAATGCAGGGTACACACAATGCGCCTTTTCTCTTTCCTTGCTCTAACCACTGTGTCTCAGGTCCCTGCAGAGCAGTATCCTTCTAGATGCATATAAACACACATGCCACCCTTTAAAAACACAAATGGTAGCTTATTTTACACACTCTTCTTTGCTTTGATTTTTTTCGTGTAATATATCTTGGAGGTATATAATCAGTAAGTACTGTAGCTCTGCCTCCTTCTTTTTAAAATAATATTCCATTCTATGGATGCACCATAATTTATTTAGCCTAGCTTATGTTGATTGCTCTGCTCTGGGTTGTCAAAGCCTCCTGACTACGGCAAAGGCACACACAATACGTGGATTTGGGTGTGTACATGTGTGTGTGGATTAGGGGAGTAACACTGGCTTAGATGACAAAGATTGGCAGCTGAGGGCCTGTTTGCTCCCTGTTCTTCCTGACCCTACAACCAGCTGCTTGCCCCTTGGCACTCTGTGGCATCAGATGTGGTGTGAGGATTTTCCACCTGTTCTTTGAGCTGGTCCAGTGTTGCTGGAGAGCTCTGCTTGCTGCCTAGGTCTGCAGTGGCTGTTGTGCTTTCCTGCAAGCCCAACTTCATATATTCTGTGGTTTCGGGTTTTGAATGTTTCCTAGTTTAATAAAAGGTGGGCATTTCTGTTTTCCATTTTGTGTTATTTTCAGTTATCCATGGAAAGATAAGAACAGAACTGTCTTTAATATTAAAACTAGAAGTTTCCAGGAATCAATTCTGAAATTATTTTGCATCTTTAAAGGTCTTAAATTTTAAAAATTGGTCTTATCTGCTTATATTTTCTTATACAGTACCATTCATCGTAATCTTACTGTTTTTTGACTTAATTCTAAACTGGTAGCTATTTAAAAAATTTTTCTGAGCTATTGAGTTATACAAATTAACATACAAGATAGAGGTTTCCACTGCATACTTCCCAGCAAAAAACAGATTGTGTGTGTTTGTGTGTGTGTGTGTGTGTGTGTGTGTGTGTGTGTGATTGAAAGAAGAGGTTGGTTTTCTGTACCTATTTAATATATTTCATTGATTATCACTTTCTTCCCATTCTTTGGATGTCAGAGACCTGTTATTTGGCTTAAAAGTACATTACAGAAAACTTCATTTCTTTAAATTAGGATTTCATGGGTAAGGACCGGGTTAGACCCAGCCTTTTCTGCATTACTTCTCATGCATTAGAATTCTTAAAATGAAAGTTTATATCCTAGTGGGCATTGTCTTATGGTTGCCTTTTAGAGCAAGTCAGAGGGTGGTGGTTCCTCTTGGGGATGCCTGCGTAGTCATTTGATTTAGTCTGCAGTGGGACTTTTGTGTCGAGGGCCAGATAGTAAATATTTTCAGCTTTGTGGATCGTATCTTTTGCAGCTACTTAGCTCTGCGGTTGTAGTGCCCAGGCAGCCATAGACAATATGTAAATGAATTAATGTGGCTGTGTTCCAATAAAACTTTAGTTACAAACACAGGTGATGGGTGGATTTGGCCCGTGGGCCAGTTGCCAACCCCTAGTGTAGGTGGTCTGCTTTGGTAATTTCTTTGAGAAATGATGTGTTCTGTTTGTAGGTACTGATGCTTATAGATGCCAGATTTGGGTTTGAAGTGGAAACCTTTGAGTTTCTAAACATCTGTCAAGTACATGGCTTTCCTAAAATTATGGGAGTTCTCACCCACCTCGACTCCTTCAAGCATAATAAGAAACTGAAGAAGCCAAAGAAGCGATTAAAACACAGGTTCTGTACAGAAGTTTACCCAGTAGGAAGAGAAATAATTTTTAGATGCTAATGTTATAATCCGTTTAAAATAGACTGAAGAGGCCAGGCACAGTGGCTCATGCCAGTAATCCCAGCACTTGGGGAGGCAGACTCGGATGGATCACTTGAGGCCAGGTGTTTCAAGCTCAGGGCAATATGACCAAACCCCATGTCTACTAAAAATGCAAAAATTAGTCAGGTGTGGTGATGCACGCCTGTAATTCCAGCTACTCAGGAGGTTGAGATGTGAGAATTGCTTGAAGCTGGGAGGCAGAGGGTGCAGTGAGCTGAGAGTGGGCCACTGCACTCCAGCCTGGGTGACAGAGTGAGACTCCGTCTCAAACAAACAAACAGAAAGACTGAAGAGACGTTACTAAACGTCTATAGGATTTGCCTTCTGAATTCCCTTTTTGTTTGTGTTCCCAGTCTCTGGAAGGTTTCCCTCAAGAGAGTGCTTATTCTGGGCCTCTTGGTGTATCTCATTTGTCTCTGTACCTGCTGTACCAGGCAGTGTCTGGGTGTTTGGGGGTTGGGACTTAATAGAGTACATCAGAAGTTTCTCCCAGTTACAGGACCAGGCACTGCCCCTTCCTTTCCATACTGCTCTGGTCCATCGGCCACAGAACTGTCTCTGTGCTCAGAGGCCTCACCTCCCTCTCCTCACCATACTTAGATGGATGCCCCTGCTCGGCGGCAGAGCAGTCTGCCTCTGTGGGGCTCTAATAAGTCCTGAAAGAAACCAGCAAGGCTCTGGAAGCCTCAGGACAGTGGCTTTGCTGGAAGTCTCTCTTCTTAGGATTGCCTCTTGTTTAGAGCTTTTATTTTGTTGCAGTATTGATGAGAATTTAATTGAAATTAATTTTTAATTTTCCTTTAATGTTTAGGGTGCCAACTGTTCTCCCTTTCTGGAATGGTGCATGGAGAATATCAAAACCAAGAAATCCACAATCTGGGCCGTTTTATTAGTTATGAAGTTTAGGCCTCTCACATGGCAAACTTCTCACCCTTATATCCTGGCAGACAGGTAAAAAGTGATTGTAAATTTTTTCTTCCTGGGCCATATATTTCAAAGCTAAAAAGGCTGGAAAAAGAATAGTGATAGGATTTATTTTGTGCCTGTTTGAATAGTGGGGGTAGAAGTGTAGTTGATGGGAAATGTCTACTTATATCATTGCTCAAAGATGCTGTGCCTTTGGGAGTAAATTAACTATGAGAAGTTTAGGACAATGGGAGGACTTGGAAGCATTTAAGGCTATAGGATGTGGCCCCATCCTACGTTCATCCTCAGTTTTCAGTGATGCTGCCTTCATGCCTGGGTGCTTGAGTCCTCGTGTGTGCCTTTAGTTTCCTTCCTTTGTGCTGTGATTTTTCTCAGCCTGGGATATCCTTTCTCCACCTGCCAGAATCCAAGCCACAGTAAAAATCCCAGAGCACAGGCTCACCCTCTTCCAGAAAGGGATTTTCTGAATATGTTCTTCACTCTTCCCTGACCCCAGGTGGACGTCATCTCCCCGTCTGGTGTCTTATGGAATGAATGTCACTTTCAGCCTAGAGACACAGTTGTGTGCCTGCCCCTTTTCCTCTGTGGATGGTGAATGGTGCTTCCTTATTTCTGCATTTTCTAGTTTTCTGAATGACATGCTTAGTGGACAAGAGTGTGATGAGTCACTGACACATGAAAGGAGGTATAGGAACTTTTGGCATTCATTTCTGCTGTATGATTGAGTTTATTTTTCTAGGATGGAAGATTTGACAAACCCAGAGGATATCCGAACAAACTTATCAAATGTGACCGGCAGGTGTCTCTTTATAGTTATTTAAGAGGAGCACACTTGAAAAATAAAAGCCAAATTCACATTCCAGATATTCTCTTGTTGTAGAACATACTAGAATTACACATAGGATTCTTGGGATGGCTTCATTTCTCAGAAAAACTGAAAAATGACCAAACAAGGGAAGATGGCCTTGCTGGAGGTTTTAAAAGTAAGCCAGCTGTGTGTAGGCCTGCAAAGGTGTTACCGAATCCCCTCTTCTCTGACCTCTTGTCTTATAGCTAGAGGGCCACTGTTCCCTTGTGGCATGATGCCCTTCTTTAGGTCATGGGTTAAGCCCTTGGACTGTGGATCATTGTTAACCCCCCAGTCAACAGTACATACTGACTTCCTGTCAGCTGAAGCTGTCTTTTTGGGTCCTGTCTTCCAAGGGTAGAAGATTTTGCCATGAGTGATGTCAGTTTCCTCCCAGACCCTTGTGCTCTTCCTGAACAATGAAAGAAGCGCTGTTTAAATGAGAAGGAGAAGCTGGTTTATGCGCCTCTTTCTGGAGTTGGGCGAGTGCTGTATGACAAAGACGCTGTCTATGTTGACCTTGGTGGCAGCCACAGTTTTCAGGCATCGGTGAGACGGGGGTCATTGCTCTGAACTCTCATTATTCTTTCCAAGTCTATTTTTTAATCAAAAAAAGTAATGTACTCAGCTTTTATCTATTGAAGATTTTTCTCTTGTACTTATAATAAAGGCCCAAATGCATATTGTAAATATGTAGAATAAAAAGAATACCTTTTTTTCATTGTACCAAGCAGAAGAGTCCTGTCCTCCATGCCTCCTTGATCCGTGGCCCCGGCGTGGGCCCTGCTGCCTGTGTGGCACCTGCACGGCTTATCTCCGTTTCTACAAAACCAGTGTGCTTGCCAGCTCTCGTTGGTCTTTTTCTTTTTCTCTTTCACAATGGTCTCCTCATTCTTTATTTTAAAGCAGATTTCCAATGTTTATTTCTTAGTTCTCAAGTGGAATTTTATTGGGTTAAAATCAGGGCTATTTAAAAATGTTAGAAAAGCTAGCACTGTTGTAGCACTGGAACTGAGAGTTTTCTAGCTAGGTGTTTAGGTTATCAGGTTATATACTCACTGAGCTTTGGCAAAGTTTAATGGATATGGGGATCCATTTAAAGCTTTGTTGTAAGGATTTTCTTCTCTGGTTTTTGAGGCATTAAGAAAGGTTCTCAGGAAATATGTCTAAGATAATTTTGAAAACTGAGTGAAACCAGTGTTTCTCCAGGATCTCTGTGCTTTCCTCACGTGCCCTTTCTTGGTGGTCTTGACGAGGTGGAGCCCACCCATGAGCTGGTCGAGTCTCATCTCCACCCACTCCACCATTGATGCCAAGATGGCTTCAAGTCGGGTGACGCTGTTTTCTGATTCCAAGCCACTTGGGTCGGAGGTTATACATAATCAAGGGGAAGTCTGCTTTTTTTCTATTTTTAATAAAAAGATATGTTACAGAAGATCATATCACCTGTAATTCTGCCATCGTAACACATTTTGGTGGGATTCATTCTATGTTGCTTTGTTTTTCTTTGTGTGTGCATGTGTCTCTGTGGGCTCTTCACTTAGCTGACATTATGAGGGAGTCTTTTCTAGAAATAAAATACAGGATACATTTTTCAACAGACCCCAAATACTCCTCAAATACCATACCATCTTCCGTAGGTTGCTTTCTTGTTTTTTAAGAGACCTGAGGCCACTCGACTTTCTTTTGGAGGCCAAAACACTAGAGCAGAGTCAGGGAGTTTGTGGCTGTCCAGAAGCCACATGCCTTGTCTCTGAAAGTTTTATTTAGATTATGTTGTATTATCTCCCATGCGTAGGTTTCCAGTGATATGTGACTTATGTGAATTATTTTTCAGCCTGGGTTCGGAATTTGTATACCTTTATACATAGTGGATGTTTGCAAAACATTGGTTTTGTTGTATTGATTTATGACTCCCAGTAAAATTTATCTGAAAATTAGAGATAATCTAGTATGTAATTTGTTACAATATGCATAAACTACCTATCACAGTGCCTGACATAATGAGTGTTATTAGCTATTTTCATTTTTGCATATCCTTCTAGTCATCCTTTTTCTACAAGAATACTCTCTTCTAATACAGTTACAGGTAAAATACATAATTTTATTTCTATATTCTGAGCATTTTTTTTCTATGCAGTCTTTATGTATCATCATCATTTTGTTGTTACTGGTGTTTTTTTGTAATTGTGGTTTTTTTGTTTTTGTTTTTGTTTTGAGATATTTTCTTTAACTTGTGAAGTAGAGCATGGCATACAATGTTGTATTCTCACTATTTCAAAAAATTACCTTCTTACTGTACAAGTTATATTCAGCATATAAAGTCTATCCAGCTTTGTTGTAGATACAGTGTGATTATTACATGTTGATGAGGTGTGAATTGGAGATGGAATCCAAAATTAATGTACTTATTGTAATTTTTAAGCTAATTTTAGGGTTGGTGGTGAATATTTTACTTCTGCAAAATGAAAACAGCATTTCATCAGAAGTTGTTTTATGGTCTTTCAGACATTTTGTTTTATATCTTTGGTGCTTTTTGCCCATGAAGTATCTCTTTTGTGTGTTTGTGTTTGTGTGTATGTGTATTGGTCTGCCTCTAAATTTCACAGCGCTCATTGTCAGGAATCAACAGGATCAGGCCTAGGCAGAGAGCTGAGCAGTACTCTAGTAGTTCTCTGTGTCCTGGTTGCCACATTATCTCTGTTATTTATAGATTGGAGAACTCTCTGACCTGTAACAAAGGTTGGATAGGTCAGAGACAATTGGATAGAGGAATCCTCTACTCTATTGTCACCTGTGCCCCACGCCAAAATGCGCTCTGAAATACATATTTAAATATTAAATTTGTATGGTGAATGTATTCTTTTTTAATGTTAAAAAATTAAATGATTGGTCAGCCCACTTAATATTTACAATGCAGGACTTACTTTGCATATTATCTGTCTTGTATTTTTGCTTTATTTAAGCTAAGCTAGCCTCCAAAGCTGGAAACTGAATGACAGTTGAAAAATAATGACATATATACAAGGTATATTTGGAGGATTGCAGATGCAGGGGCACCGTACTGCTGAGGGAGTGTTGGAAGCTCACTGCAGAAGATGATAAAAGCAGACTGATGTGTATTACTTGCTGAAATGTAAGCTGGAGGCACAGGTGAAGATTGCCAAACCTAATGAGCAGTTTGGCAGATAAGACAGGCTGTCAGGCCGTGGCAGTTCAGCAGTGAGCGTGCTGCCTGTGAACCAAGTCATTTGTTCCAGAGGCCTACACTTAAATACCACAAATAAAATCTTCCTTGTCACTGATATTTGGTATCACAATGAAATAGATGTTATCTTTCAGGTTTCCGGTTGAATTATCAGCCATTAACATCTGGTGATTTGAGTTGTAAAATTATTTTTAGTTTTGCCTGTTCACATTTCATCCACAAAGCAGAGACAAAATATATTTTCCCACATAAGAATGTAAGCAGTATAAGACTTTGAAACACACTAATGAAAAGTACATGATTACATGCTTCAGTGAACTAAAACTTTCATCTGTGATCTTTATTTTGCAACACTCTGAAGTAACATTACAGTCCTTTCAGTGTGCTATGTTATTTATATCCCTTACTTTACCCTGGGAATCCTTTATTGCCATTGAGCATATGAAAATTGAGACATGTGCATAGCTTCTCCCCATTGAGCCCATCAGTGGGGAGGAGCTATGTACCGGGGACATTTGGCAAAGATTTTCATGAGTCTGTTGGTTGTAACAGCTCCTTAAGGAAACTTCACAGTTTACCTTCCCTATTTTTTTTTTTACCATTTGTAAACTAAGGCTCAGTGATGTAAAACATAATACATTCTGTGCTGTGGCATAACTGTAGCTTAGGTTTTCATATTCAAGACAAGCAGAGGTATAGCTGAAAATATATGAACGCTTATTATGCCTCAAGATCCCTTTGTTGGTTTAGTTGTGACAACTTCCAAACACCTGACTTGTGGCTAAAGCATCTTTCTATCTGGCATCAGTATTTCTAAGTTGCCTTTAAACTGAATAAACATCTGGTGTTTATATTTAATTGCTTCAATGTGGAACACTGCAATTTAAAAAATTACATATATGTAATATATTTTACACTAAATAATAGTGACTGGCAGTCCATTGACCAAAGAAGTATTATTTTTTAGAT